TCATGGGGAAGACTACGAGGCTGGGCTGTTTCAATATTTAGGGCAGCACAGAGGGATCTTCTCCACATATTATGTGTATTTTCACAATCTCTCTGCTACTTATAATTTTGCTAAGTATTTTATGTGTTTTAATTCTATTTAACATTAGGAAGGTCAGATTCTGGCCAGGATAAAATACATTATTGCCGTATTATGTTCAATCTTCCCACACAATGCTGCAGAAACATTCTGGGGTATTTTTACTGAGTGATGCAAAGTCACTCCATACTTGGGTTGTTCAGTGTTGAAAATATTGGAACTGATGGAGTTTGCATATGCACAATTCTTGCTTGAGACAGAATTTCAAAGCAGAATTCATATCACCTTTCTTTTTAACCTCTCTGTCCTGCAGCACCTTGGTAAGTCAGCCTCGGACTGATCTTGGCCAAGATAAAACCATCTGTTAAAAATATGATACATGCACCGAAATAAGGTGTTTTAATACCATATTCCCATGTTCAGAGCACTTTTTCTGTGATTAATCACTGCACATAACTGGTGGTTTCTAGCTCCCTACTTACCAGAACCAGCAACAGTTTCAAAGGAGAAGATTGGTTTTTCATCGGTCTTGTAGGAGATGACAGACCTGCCCAAAAACAGCATAGCTGGCTTCAGTTCAACAAACTCTAAATTGAGTGCTTAAAATCAAACTGGAATAGACAACTTCTGGTCTTCCAACGCCCCAAAATTCTGTGATAATCCTCATGAAGAGATCTTGGATGTGACACGGATATAAAGACATGCTGACTGTAAATATAACAGCACCCACTACACAAGTCAAAAGGGAATTCCAACTACAGCTACTAGGAAAAAAAAAAGGAAACCAACAGTTCATCACACACAACAAAATCAAGAAGTGAAGATGACAAGTCACAGTCAGTTTTCATATCACTTCACTGGGCCAATGTGCTGTTTGAAGCTTTCAACCCACTATTGTTCCAGTGCAGTTTCAGGACAATCTCACCTGAAGCGATTGTAGATGACAGAGCCTTCATCAAACTCATACCCAGAGTTCAACAGCTCTAAAGCAATGACTGAAGCATCTCCAAAGCTTGGAGGTCTCCGTCCCACTTCTTTGAATGTCAGCAGGAAATAGTTGGCATGTGTCCTGCAACAACAACAGATCTGTGTTAGAACAGATGTGGATGCTCCAAAGTACAACAAGGCAGCAAGTCTGACTTACTGCTGTAAATTAGGAATGTTCAGAACTAAATATTTTATTGAATTAGGGCCTGAGAGACATTTTGCCATTTTTCAGTTAAATTATGATAGCTTATTAAAACACACACCTGTAACAGTGCCAGTTGCCAGACATTTATTTCAAAAATATAATAGTGCTGTGCAGCATTTTCACAAATATCCAGACGATCTAAACCCCTTTTAGGATATTTGCAGATTTCTTTTAAAAGAACTTGAATTTAGTACACATCCCAAAAATGCAATTTCCTGCCAATGCCAACACAGTTTTCTAAGCAGTCTTGAAACTTCTACCACAGAAAAAAATCAAAACCCCAGAATAAACCCTTCTATGGTTTCAGTTTTTACCTCTGAAGCAGGCCTCTGATCTTGTCACCTACTCCAACCACCATAACTTCCTTCCCAGCATTTGAGAGGTTGGTAATCTCATTTTTCAAGGTTTTAGCAATGGATGTATGGATAGCACCACACAGCCCTCGGTCAGAGGACACACCAATAAGGAGGTGCTTCTTCTTGTCCTCAGGTGCCTTTATTTCTGCTTTCTCATAAAGAGCTAGAAAAAAAACCAAAAAAAAAGGATGGTCAAGTTTTTCAAGAGTGCCAAGAAGCAAATAAATCTCAAAAAACACCTCTGCATTATTCTAATCAAAACCAGCTCTAAAGGGGCTGCAAATCTTAGATAGATAAATTTTACCTCCCTCACAATTATTCAAATTTGCACATGATCAGACCAGAGGTGAGCAAGAAACAACTCAAAGCCAGCCCCTTCTCTGACCAGATGTCACACAATCAATGTCATCACACAGTGAAGTTCACAGTTCTGCCCCAGAGCCAAGTGCAGCACAAGAGTTCACAAGAGGGTGCGGCAGTAGCTGTAGGTGCTACAGAGATTTGACACAATTCCATTAACAGACAGATTCAGTTCTGAGCTGTGGTGCTTTTATGACTCATAAAAACAACCACGCCACCACACAAAGTTAAAAAAGCAATCAGAAATCATGATGAATTTCAGATTAGAACTCTTAAAATTGAACCACTTTCCATAAACTACTTTTATGGAATACTAAAGGTGGCCTAGAGATGCAAATTCTTTTGGAAATAAACTACTGGGAGGTTATTACATACTGTAACAAATGTGGATAAAGCCTTCCCAAATCTTCGTTCGCGAAGCCCAGCCATGATGACTGGAAGGTTAAAAAGTCTCAGCATTTTATCACCACCATGAAAACCTCTTTTTCTGCTCCCACATCCCACAGTGCAAGAGCTTTCTCTCACCCAGAGCTCCTGTTCCATAGACCCTTGCAGGCTTCAGCTCCCTCTCAGCTCGTGCATATTTGGCTGCAGAAACCATCTTCATGGACTTGGTGATTTTCTGGATGTTCTTGATGGACTTCAAACGCCTGGTGACTACAAAGTTAAGAGTGGAAGGTCAGGGGCTGTTCTGGGCATAATGACTCAAAAACAAACAATAAAATGCCAGCAACAGCCATCCAAAAATATTTCACCATGTTCCTCAAAGACAAAATAAATAAACAAACAGTGCACAAACAAACCTCACCAAAGCCCTCAGTATTTACAGTGAGAAAGCAGTAAGAGGAGGAATGTGGCTAACACAAATTCATCTTTATAATAGAGATTTTTTTTTCCTCTAGACACAGCATTTATTTAATATTTAGCCCAGCATAAAGTCTATTTACTATCTCTTTGCTTCCACATCTACCTGTTTCACAAATACATCATTTGAGGTATATTGTCATCTTTCCCAGATGACAAGGGGAAGGAACAAACAAAAAGCAGACCCCGTAGTATGAAGGCACAGAGTTAATTTCCTTCCCTGTTTAGGCTGTGGCAAAATAAGATTCACAAAAACACTGATGTAAAAAGAAAACAAAACAGGTTATCCTACAGACAAGCACAATTCCAAGGCAATATCCCTGTATAAGAATCTGTGAGCAATGGTTTACGAAAGCCATTATCAAACTAAACCATTCAGCCAACCTTTTTTCCCCAAATGCTGCATAAAAGCACGAGGAAATAAGCATAAAAGAAACTAAATTAATTCTCAGAGGTGAGAAAAAATCTGATTTAGCACATATGATAAAATTATTTTTAAAATATGTTCGAGTAAAACTATGAAATGACACCTAAATTAGTGCCAAAACCACCTTAAGCAATGCCTTTTCTGAAGGACACTTGTTCAGCAGAAGAAGGGCTGGAGGCCACATACCAATGTTTTGGTGTATCACAGTCAGTTTACCCAAGAGAAGCTAATCAAAATTGTGTTTTAACATATGATTTTCCTGCAACACTTTCCCCCTCTGAAAAGCAAACAAAACCTGTACTTACTGTCTTTTAGCGTTGCCATATTCCTGACTTGGCCCCTAAAAAGGAATGCAGGAGAAATTAGGGTAATTCACTAGTTCTCCTGCAAGCCAACACCTGTCAAGGGCAGGTCCCTTTCACAGAGCTGTAAAGTCAAGATATTCTGTCTCTTAAAAAGCATCTGTGGCTGGGACAAGCCATTCTGACCTGTGGTTTGTATGCCCACCTTCCTCCTTCCCCCATCTATACAATTTCACAGAATCACAGAATCAATTAGGTTGGAAAAGACCTCCAAGATCATCAAGCCCAACCTGTGACTGAACAACATCAGGTCAAATAGATCACGGCTCTGAATGCCACGTCCAGTCTTTCCTTAAACACCTCCAGGGATGGAGAGTCCACCACCTCCCTGGGCAGTCCATTCCAAGGTTTAATCACCCTTTCTGTGAAGCAATTCCTCCCAATGTCCAAACTGAGCCTCCCCTGGTGCAGGTTAAGACTATGTCCTCTCATCCTGTCACTTGTTCCTTGGGAGAAGAGACCAACCCCCACCTGGTTGCACCCTCCTGTCAGGGAGTTGTAAAGAGTGATAAGGTCACCCCTGAGACTCCTTTATCCAGGTTAAGCAGCCCCAGTTCCCTCCGGCTGCTCCTCATCCGACGTGTGCTCCAGACCCTCCCCCAGCTCCACTGCCCTTCTCTGGACTCGCTCCAGCACCTCAGTGTCCTTCCTGAACTGAGGGGCCCCGAACTGGACACAGCCCTCAAGGGGTGGCCTCACTTGTGGCCAGCACAGGAGGAGATTTAATTAATTAATTATCCATCCCCTTGGGTAATGACAGGAGGCAAACGGGGGCATCGGAAGGGCAAATTAAAAAAAAAAAAAAAAAAAAAAAGAAAAAGCTTCCAATAGCGAAACTAGTTTTTCAAAACGACTGAAACGAAGCGGAGGAGGCTGCACCATTCCTTGAGCAGAGCTGGGTCTCCTGCCGTGCACAGACCCGTCCTTTAACTCTTGCCTGTCCCAAGTACCCACCCCCGCCGAGCTCCCCCTCGTCCCCCACCCACGGCGGACGGACCCTCCATCCCTGAATCTCATCCTCCATCCCTGCACTCATCTCCCGGTCCCAGCTCTGCCACCCCCACCCAGAGCCCACAGCCCCTCACGGGCTGCCCAGGGCCGCGACCCCGCCGTCCCAGGGCGCCCCACAGCCGAGAGGGCCGTCACCCCCTCACCCCTCAGAGCCTCCCCGACCAGCGGGACGAGCCCCCCCGTGCCCACCGCGCCCGAACCAGCCCGTCCCGGTACCATTGTGGCTGGAACAGCACGACCGCGGCGCCCCGGGCGAACATGGCGGCGCCTCCACCACAGCCCCGCTGAAGGTCAGCGCGCCCGCACCGCGCCTGCGCCGCCCCGCCGCGATCCGCTTCCAGGGCACCGCCGCCATTTCCGGGGCGGTGGGATCGGGAGAGGGAGAGGGGCCGGGACCGGGGTCGGCATCATGGGGAAGTCGGATTTCCTCAGCCCCAAGGCGATCGCCAACCGCATCAAGTCCAAGGGGCTGCAGAAGCTGCGCTGGTACTGCCAGATGTGCCAGAAGCAGTGCCGCGATGAGGTAACTGCGGGTGCGCCGCTCCTTCGTGAGGGGTACGGGCGGCTCCGGCTCCTTAATAGGGACCCCCACTCCCCTTGAGGGGAGCGGTTCTTCTGGGAATACACACAGGGGATACCCCTCGGTTGGGGTCCTCCAGCCCTCGTGGTGGCTGCGATCTCATGGAATCACAGGATGCTTTGGGTTGGAAAGGACTTTAAAGATCATCTCGTTCCACTCCTTGCCATGGGCAGGGACACCTCCCACTAGACCAGGTTGCTCTAAGTCCCGTCCACCCTCGCCTTGACCACTTCCAAGGATGGGGCATCCACAGCTCCTCTGGGCAACCAGTGCCAGGGCCTCACCACCCTCACAGGGAGGAATTTCTTCTTAATATCCGATCTAACCCCGCCCTCTCTCAGTTTAAAGCCATTCCCCCTTGTCCTGTCAATCTCCCTTGTAAGTGTCCCTAATGCTGTTGAGGACACTGGGAGGGCTGCGATTGTCCTTGTAGGAGTTCCTGATCCCCTTCTGGGGGCTGCAGTTCCCTCAGGAATTTTGGGACCTCATGACCTTGGCGTGGGTTCCCTTGTTTCCCAGTGGAGTGAGGGGGGTACAGGGCTGGCTCAGGTTCCCTTTGGAAATGTCCCCAGTTGCCTTGTGGGTGCTTTGATCCCATCTGTGGTGTGTGATCCTCCTAGGGAGCATCCTGGCTTCCCTTTCTGGGGGCACAGGGAGCCCTGATGCACTTTGGGGGAGCACTGGAGAGGGCCCTTATTCTCCTTTGGGGGACCCCAATCCCTCTTGTATGGATCACAGTCCCTTGGGGGCAGATTGGTGGGACCTGGCGAGTTCCCACTTGCTGGTCATGGGACGATCCTATTGGGATCCCCAGTGGGAGAAGTCCTCATCCACTTTGGAGAAAGCCTGTTGGCCCTGACCCATCTTTGAGGATTGCATTTAAGTTTTCCATTCTCCATAAGTAGCCTCTTTAATGTGCCATAGGAAGGTAGAGCATCCTACAGATGTTTAATTCTATCATTCTTCACCTATTTCTGTACTCTCTCCCTTTTACTCAAAAATCTCAAATCCTGTTGTCTTCCCATTGACTACAAGCAAAAAAAAAAAGCTTCACTACTTTACAAGCTGATATTTTTGTAAGGGCTTGTCTGGTTGGGAGGAATAACCACCCCACACTAGGCTGAGGTGTTTTCTGTGGACCCTCCAAGAAATTTCGCTCATAAAACATTATTTTTAATATTTTCTTCAGCTGTGTTGCAAATTGAGACAAAGACATGCAAAGGATTTATTTTTGCTTTATAGAATGGCTTCAAATGTCATTGCATGTCTGAGTCCCACCAGAGGCAATTGCTGCTGGCTTCTGAAAATCCTCAGCAGTTCATGGACTACTTCTCTGAGTAAGTTTTCTGTATATTCTTAGCCAGGTCTTTGTTCCTGTGTCAAATCTGCACAGCTACAATTCTAAGGCCCAATAATGTCCCATTGGAGACACTCTATTGTGATATATTTTAGTGTCAGCTCTTTTTTTAATGGCAATTTGAAAATTTAGAGAATGCCACTTTTGAACTTAGGTAAGAGATTTCAGGGAGCCATGGTGTTTAATCATATTTGACAGTTTTATCTCGTGTCTGAATCCTGTTTAAAGTTGCTCTGTGTTACAAATACGTCACCTTTGTGCCCCAGCTGAGTGACTGCCACACTAAACATGAGCTAAAGGAGCCATAACAGAGAGACAGCAAGTCAGGGGTGTGACTGACATCCCACAGCTTCTCCCAGTCCTTTGTCCAGCTGACCTGCATGACAGCTGGGATGACTGGAGCTGCCTTCAGCACGAGCCTGAAGTGAGGCTTTGTGTTCCAGCCCTGGAAAATTAGCAGGGAGATGAGTGATCCCTCCGCCCCATCTGCCCTTTCTCCTGCCCTGTGTTCCATGTCAGTCAGCCTGGGAAGACACCTGGTAATGAAATACTGGCAATTAGTAGGAAGTGTAGAGATTCCTTTGCTCTGTTTTTATCCCTTTGGGAAGCTGTTATCCTCTTGGAGATTTCGTGTGTGTGAATGTACCATATTGTGTTTCTCTGTGCACACATCCTGCATTTAATGCTGCTTTATTGAAAAAGGAAAATGTGGCTAAATTTCATCATGCTCAGATCAAAAGAATAGTCAGGTTTATAATGCACATGTTTATTTGTTAATGACAACAGAAAATTGCTTCATAATTGTTAAAGTTTTGCTGAAATCCTTTCTTTTTATCCCCCCAAGGGAGTTCCGAAATGATTTCCTAGAACTGCTCAGGAGGCGATTTGGTAAATATTTTGCTCTTTGTTTGTTTTCAATGTCTTTTGTTGTTTCAGTGCAAGACATTTTGGTTGGTTTGTCCTGGGTTCCACACTTGTATTTAATAACGATAATTCCATATTTCAGGAACAAAGAGAGTCCACAATAATATTGTGTACAATGAATACATCAGCCACCGAGAACACATCCACATGAATGCCACACAGTGGGAGACACTGACTGACTTCACAAAATGGCTTGGGAGAGAAGGTGAGTGGGGCTGGGAAGTCTTAAAATTATTGGGTAATTGAATTGCTGATAATTGATCAGTAAATATTTATATTAGTTCTGTTTCATTTTTTTTCTTCCTCTCTGCTCCTGTATATACATTAACAGATTTCCAAATGTTTTTCTTTGCTAACCATGTTGATAAGTACGTCAGTTGTGAGCCTTTCCTTGTTTCATCTGCTGGTCAGTATTTGCTGGAGGTACTGCTAAATTCTAAATCAACTTCCAACATTTGCCATTTAGAAAGAAAACCTAAAACACTCCTCATGACTTCAGAATCCTTCCATATTTGAGGTGACAAGAAGCAAGCAGTCATTTTCATTGCTGGCCTCACGGAAGGGTTAAAGCTTGAGCTCTGCAGTTCTGTGCTCAGTGGAAGGAAGGGAGATTAAATGGCACTGTGGGGTGACAGAAAGTTTATTTTGGCTCTGGTTGCCCCTGTCCTACAGGATACATCCACGGGTCATGGAGTGTTTGGAAAGTCAGTCTAACCAGAGTCAGTAACAATAATGCAGCACTGGAACATTTCCTTTAGTATGATGCTATTAGTGTGTGTTGTTTATACGTGTGAGATTTGTGTTTTCAGTGGGCAGGAAATATTTTCTTCAATAAGGAAAGTATTGTAAAACACTTCATCCACTTTATGACAGCTCTGGCTTATTTCCAAATAGATCTGGGTAGCTGGAGGGCAGAAACACATAGTGCAGATAATTCAATTTTTGCAGTCCAGTAAGGGGTTTACTGTCTCTGGTAAAGTATCTGCATTGTTACGGTGAACATGGACTGAAATGATCTTGATATTGTAGGAATTAATCTTGTTTTATCTTGTGTTGACTTTCTAGGTCTTTGCAAGGTTGATGAGACTCCCAAAGGCTGGTACATTCAGTACATCGACAGGGACCCTGAGACTATTCGTAGGCAACAAGAACAAGAGAGGAAGAAGAAACAGGACCTTGATGATGAAGAAAAAACTGCTAAGTTCATTGAACAACAAGTTAGAAGAGGTTTGGAGGGGAAAGAACTGGTAAGGAAAATTGCACCGTGCGTGAACCTTCTGCTCAAAACTCCTCATGGTTAAGTTAATGGGGAATTTGGTGCTGCTGGGATCCTTCCTCTGGTATTTTCTTTGCTTCCTGACTTGGAGTTACTTTGTACCCAGCTTGCTTTAGTACTAAAGGAGTAATAATTACTGTTCTTCACATGATTAGTGGTTCAGAAGCCACTCTTGAATTTAGGAAGGGAGAGTAAACACTCCAGTAACCAGCATGACGTGTTTTCATTTATGGTATTTCACAACTTTGAGAGCTGCAGATAACAAGTACCTTGTACACTGGGGAGGTTGAGATAAACAACCAGGGGAATCTGGCATAATCAAATTCACACAGTGAAAAGTTCTATTTTGATAGTGCTGGTGAGGTTATTTGGGAGATGTTTATTTGGCATCATTCCATGACCTCCATACACATTGTTGCCCAGGGCTGGAACCTCAAATTTGATCCCAGGTATTGATAGGTACATTTAAATCACATTTAATTGTATCCAATTATGTGCTTCTTAATTTAAAACTAATTGAAATTTAAATGGTCTGAGCCTCCAGTGCTAAAAATTTGGAAAGATATCAGAATTTCCTTCTTGGAGTCATCAGTCTATCCAGAAACCAGGGAGATCATACTGGTTCAGATAGAGAAAACTGCTACAGCAAGGCCACTTTCCTTTCATCCTGGAGTTGAGCAAGTTTAGGCAGCATCTCTGTAGGGGTGTTAATTAGAGAATTTTGCACAGGAGCCTGTAATGGTTTCAATTTATAATCTTTTATGAATCAAGCCAGATTGAATATTACAGTTATTTGTGATAATCTTGCAGTAATCTTTAACACTGAGCTAATCAATGATCACCAGAAATTATATCTGGGCTCAGTTTTCTGTTTGAATCTTGAAATGCATTTTGTATTTTTTTGGTAGGAAATGCCTGTCTATACTGAACTGAACAGAGAAAATGAAGAAGAAAAAGGTAACCAGATTTTGATAGATGTAATTTTCTAGAACCTACTAAAGGTGATTTTGTTATTCAAGAAAGATGAGTGCTTGAGGCCTGTTTAGTGCCTAATAAAGTACTCTGAGATCAGTTATAAAGAGAACTGGAACTTGGAAATGCAGAGTATTCTTTTGTATAAGTTTTAATTTATACAGATTAGTAAACATTTTCAAATTTATGATCTTTTCTATTTGCAGATATTAAAAATTGTAACATCCTTCAATGCAATTATTTTTAAAGATAGAAATAGAGTAATGTCTTTTTATTTTTTAGTTACTTTTAATTTAAACAAAGGAGCAAGTACTTCAATCGCAGCATCTTCTAAAACAAGGTGAGAAAAGAATTTAAGGGAACACTTATTGTTGCAAAGCACTTCCATGACAATGATATTTGTGTGGGCAGGAAGATGTGTCTCATCCTGAAATATTTGGATTCTAATCTCATCCTGCCTTGTTATTCAGAAATGGATAGTAAATGACTTCATGGTTCCTTCTGTATTTAAAATGGGTGAATTGATGTATCTTAAATGTGTGCTGTGAGGAGCCTTCTTGAATTCCTGTGGTTCGTGGCAGATGCCTGTAAAGTAATAGGCAAGTACAGGTTCCTCCAAGGGAGGATGGAAAAGGGATCCAGCCAAAGCACTTGAAGTGATGCCACCTAGTCCCAGCTGCCTTTTATGAATGGATATTCATGACTTGTTAATTTTGATTCCTGAAAGGTTTGATTGCCTTGTCTAATTGGAGAAAATTCTTCCTCTGGTCATCGTTTAAGCAGCTGAATCTACCTGAAATAAATCTTTCTAAAGCTCTTGAATTTAATTGTCATCCTATAACCACAAGCAATGCAGGACAAAAGGGATCAATAATGCAAATAATACTGGCTTACAGCAGTCTGTGGAACTGTTGGATGATCATACATCTTTTCATGTGAGGCAATATTGTAATTAAATGTGTTGCAGGTAAAAGCAAAGCTTTCCTCTCATCACACTCAGCTCTTAGATAAGGTATCTGATGGGATATGTGCCAGGCAGAAAATGAGACAGTAAAGCAGTTCTTTGCAATAATAGATCCAGATTTCTGGCTTTGAGGAAAACTTGTAAATTATCCCTAAGCACTAAATTGTGATTAAGGTGAGTCTGAAACTTAATGCAAACACTCCCTTGAATAGTTTCAGTGAGCTAAAATTTGGCTGAATGTGAAATCACATATCAAGTAGTCTAATTTATTCATAGCATACGAGAGATACTTGTCTGTAAATTTTGTAATGGTAGTGTGGAAGCAAAATTAGGATAAGCACTTCATGGCAAAGTGGTGATTCAGGCATCACTTTAGAGTCATGTATGGAAGCTGCTTCCCTGTGTCAGTGTACAGGAGTGTTCTGCAGCTGTTGGCTGTTCCTGAGGAGCAGTGGAGGTCAGCCTGATATCCCCAGCATAGTGTGCAGGAGGACTTCCCTGCTTCCCACCTTCTGTGCTCACAGCACAAGCTGTGGAAACCTGGCACTTGTATTTCCTGAGTGTGGTGCAGAAATGGGACCAGGAGATCATAGTTGGTGGGTGGTGGAGTTTGGAGAGCATGAGGATACAGGTAGTTGGGTGGGGTTGGAGCCTTTCTGAGGAGGGGAGTGAGGGGGGAGACGTTTCTTCCCTTGTCCCTGTGGCTGACAAGAAGCTGGGAGTTTCCACTGCCACTGTGGGTACGGCTCCTGATGCCCACTGCCCTTCAGCAGACTGGGAGCCCTGGGCTTTCTTTGTTCCCTCAGTAACTTACATCCTCAAATCCCTGCTTAACTCACCCATTGGACAAGTGAGATTAGAAGTAATTCTAATTTAAGAACGAGCAGAAGCCACTGTCAAGGTCACTGACTCCTGTCTGCAGCACTGCAAGTGTACCAATGTCAGCACACTGAGCAGCCTCCACTGTACACAGCTGGGATCTCCCCAGCCCTGCAGTCCCAGGGGAGGATCTTTCAGAAGCTGTTTGCTCTGGTAGTTTGCACCTTGTTTGTAAGTTCCCAGGTAAATGTTCCCAGGTAAATGTTCATGGTCAGTTCATACCAGGTGCTGTCATGTTGATATGTGCCTTTAAAATGAATAGTTCTTTTTCTCTCTGGTGTTTGGTTTGTCAGTGTATTTGTAGAGAAAAGTTTTGGCCTGTCAGCCTTCACTGTAGTGTACAACCAGGCCTGCACACTGCTCATCTCCCCATTCCCCTCACCCCCTGAATATCCCTTCCTTGTCCTTCTTCCAGTTTCAGCAGATCTTGAACAGGAGATCTGACTGAATTTGTGCATACAGCCAAGGGAACATCACCATGGCTTATTCCAGGCACTGATGCTTGGCTGTCTTGACATTTGACTCTTTCGTGGCTGCTCCACACTAGTAACTGTCACCTGTGCTTGTAGCCAGACCCCTTTCTGCTTTTGTTGTTCTTAACAGCTCCCAATAGAGAGAAGGCAATCAGAGTAAACTTTTCCAAAGTACCTGAGCTTACATAATGTGCTGTTGAATGCTGTGGTTTTCAAAACATGGTTTTCAAGATAAACCAATTCCTTTTGGTGTCAAATTCTTCCTTGAGTCCTCCATATTGTTGACACACCCAAACACCAAAACGTTGTTTGGTCTCTTGACTCTTTGTCCCAGGATCCTTAATAAATACATTATATAAGATTTGTTTTACTATTTACACCCAGGAATCCCTTAGTAACCTCATAGCAAGATATGTTTGTCTTCTTAAATATAGGCACTGCAGCTGTTAAGTTTTAATTGTATGTTACCCTTTATGAGATGTTATTTTAAGTACTTGCTATTTGGTTTGTAATTTAATGTGCTGTTTCTTCTCAAACTCTGCTATGTTTATCCAGACTTGCTCTGAAATACAATTTTTCTCTCAAAGTTGCTTCTACTGCGATTTCTGTGTCTTCATTCCCACTGGGTATCTTCCCTTGGTAGTACATCCAACATCCTCACCACAGGCAGAACATGCAATTTTGTCCTAAGGCCATAGAAATATTGCATTACTGTCACCTCACAACAACCACCTTCATCTTTCAGCATAACACCTAATTTTTTTTACTGCATTCAAATTTCTTTTACAAAAATGGCTGAACTCAAGCTGCATGTAGGCAGTTCTCACTTTACCTGGATGTTCCCTGATATGTAACTTCTTGTGTTGGTTGTTCTTTTCTTTCCTAGCTTTTAGGCTGTTTGCCTATTTGGAATATGATGCTGAAGGTAACATTTGTTTCTACAGATTCCCATGTGTTTTCTCCCATTGCCAGATGGGTTCAGTATCTCTGTCTGAAGGGAGTTCTAGACATCTGCCACGTCTCAGAGTTCCTCTGTCCAGGTGGCTTCTCTAAAGCCACACACTTGTCCTTTCAAATTTGAAAACCTGATTTACAGACTGGCTTTTGTCTTCTCCATTGAACTCAACTTCTCAATCAACTCTTTGCTTGTGCAGTGGTGAACTGATCATTAAGTTGTGTCCATTCTGCTGGACTGCCAGCATTAACCCTGAGTGGACATGGAGTTTGCACCCCAGGGAGATCAGTTCTAGAGGAGCTGATCATGCAGGGTCTGGAAGGTGACTGGCACAAATGAAATTAGGCAGATTAGGCCTTTTTACACAGCCAGTTCTTCAAATGTGTCTTGGTAGAGGAAAGATTGTAAGATCTGCTGTGAAAACACCATCTTACTCTTCCAGCAGTGTCCTTGGACAGAATGCACTGAAGATGGTGGAGGGGGCAGTTAAAAGAAAGGAATCAGCTCATAGCTCTAGTCAACCCAAAGAGAAGAAGAAGAAATCTGCACTGGATGAGATCATGGAGGTAATAACCATGTAGGATCTGTGTCTGTGTGTCCCTATGCCTATGGCAGTGTCCACTCTCCCAGGGCGTCCCTTTGAAGTGACCTCAGCCCTTCAGTGCATGTGGAAATCAGACTTTCACATCTTACCAGGCAAAATAATTTCATTTCCCCGTGAGAATTGGTTTCTGCTGCTCAGCTGTGCCTGTTCCCCAGATGACTGAGGTATTGGAAGTAAAAGAATACAGATTTTGCAAGAGAAGAAAATATCTAGAAACACTTGACCAAAAAAAAAATATGAATCACAGGTTTCTGGATGTCATGAGATTGATTTTTATGCAGCAAGTACAAACTAACTTACCCTTATTTAGGGTTTGGGGATTTTTTTTATTCTCCACTTGATGTAGGGCTGGAGAATTGGTTCAGCTTTTGAAAGGCACGGGAAAGCTGCAGTGGAAGGAGGAAGTAAATGGTGATTATTTGTTGTTGTTCTGTAGCTTGAAGAGGAGAAGAAAAGAACAGCTCGAAGAGACTACTGGTTGCAGCCTGTAAGTGTCTTAAAAATTATTATTAGAGCAAATACAGTCAATTCTGCATCTCTAAAGCCACTGTTGATTTGTGTAGAGATCCAAAAGCAGATTCCAAACTAAAATCACTCTTCTTTTCCCTTTCCTGCTCTTGACCCATTGTGGTCTGTCACTTTATATCCTGAATTCAAGTGTAATTGTAATTGTAAAAAAACCCAAAAAAGTCTTGAAAGATGTGACTTTGAGACAATAATTTGAGAATAAAGACAGATTCCTGAAAGCCACATTGTTACTAACCCTGCTTCCTACACTGAGCTACTCAGTCTGGGCTTGAACTCAGAGCAACCAGAACTTACAATTAGTTTAGATTGTGGAGTTGTTTGTATATTTTGGCATTTAATTTTATTTTTTCTCTCCTTTCAAATGTCTCAGGAAATCATTGTAAAAATTGTAACGAAAAAGCTTGGAGAGAAGTATCACAAGAAGAAGGCAGTTGTTAAGGTAAGATAGTTTGGCTTTTCTGCTTTGAGGTAACTTCGGAAATTTTGTTTCATTGTGCAGATTGTTCAACCTGAAGTCAACACTGTTAGGGGCTGAAATGTCACCTTACCTGTATTGGGACTTATTCTGGCCAGGGAGGGAACCCCTGAATTGGTTTAATGTCATTTTCTCAGAGATCCTTTCTTAAGTGCTGTTTTGTCCTGTGTGGTTTGTCCCTATTGACACATCCAACCAAGAGCAGTGCAGTTGGATTTTAGGCTGAAACTAGTCACTTTTGCACTGATATTTAAGCTGCAGGATCTCATTTGCATGCAAAATCTCCAGGCTGGAAATCTTGCCTTGCTTTTAGCCACTGCCAGTGAAATGATGTATATTAGGTGGTCCAAGGCTCAACAGTCTCTGGCAAGAGCCACAAAAATGACACCCAGATGTGTTTTGAATGATTGACAAGAGTGCACAGAGCTGAAAATTACAGCTTTTTGGGTGGACATCTGGGAGGACTTGTGTCTCCCAATGGCTTGACTTCCACTGAGCTCTGGATAGGAGAAGTGGAACAAGGTTTATGCCAGGCATGGGGATGATCAGTAACGTTTTGCCTCATTAAGAAGTAGGATCCCAGTGTAGTTTCAAGCCAGCTTAGCCTCCCATGGGGAGAAGAAGCCTCTATTTTACTCTCCATCTTTAAGAGACTAGCTGAGGTAGCTGATCCAAAGGTTGATAAAACCTTCAGAGAGGCCTTACAGAATTAGTGATGAATTAGACCAGGCATTGATGCTCAAGAGGAGCCCTTTTAATCTGGCCTTGACTTCAGGGTGGGACCAGTCAGCAGTTTGTGGAAGCTGGAGGCTTTTGGCACTGCCCAGAAGGCCCTGCTGCTGTTGACAATGTAGAATTGCAGACTCATGATGCCGAGTTTGTTAACTTTGAAATGTAAATTTAGAGAAAAATGTTTTATTTCTCTGACTGGCCTCTGGCTTTCCCAACAGGAAGTGATTGACAAATACACAGCGGTCGTGAAGGTGATTGACTCTGGAGACAAACTGAAGCTTGATCAGACACATCTAGAAACTGTAATACCTGCACCAGGTACAGCTGTTTGCTTGTGTTCTCGGCCTAATCATAATCCCTCCACCTGAAAGTACCATCACCTCTCCTGAGAAGACAGGCTGAGAGAGCTGGGGTTGTTCAACCTGGAAAAGAGGAGGCTCTGGGAAGACCTTAGAGGCCCTTCCAGTACTTAAAGGGACATTATAAGAAAGATGGGAACAAACTTTTTTGCAGGGCCTGTAGCAACAGGACAGTGGCCAATTGGTAATGGCTTTAAACTAAAAGAGGGTAGATTTAGGCTAGGTATAAGGATGAAATTTTTTAAGATGAGGGTGGTGAAGTCCTGCAACAGGTTACCCAGGGAAGCTATGGATGCCCCATCCCTGGAGACATTGAAGGCCAGGTTGGAGGGGGCTCTGAGCAGCCTGGTCTCGTTGAAGATGTCCCTGATCATTGCAGAGGAGTTGGAGTAGACAGCCTTTAAAGATCACTTCCAGTCTTCACAGTCCTTTTCTGTGAGAATTGGAGTCTTCTCTGAGAAGACCAGCAGTTCAGTTGAAGAGACGAAAGCATCTCTCTTCAGCTGCCAGGAAGAACATCTGGGAACCCTGCAGAGCCCTTGGTCATGTTTATCCTGTAACTTCCCTCCAAAGTCATGCCTGGAATAACAGTGGATACTTAGCAAAGCTGACCTCACCTCCTGTCTGGGTCACTGGTGTTTCTTCGGCTGGTACAACACTAATGTTTGTGTGGAGCATCTGAGGGCAGCAGTAAGCAGAGCACTGTCAGCATACAGGGAAACAGGATGTAGGATTTGGGGATTCACACTGAGGTGCCCTTTGGAAATGGGGAGGCTGTGAGACAAAGCTGGTGCTGCTTCCTGGAGCTGCTGGGAGAAACCTCTCTCTCAGCTGTCAGTGGAGTTGGAGACAACACGTAGAAGAAGTTGTGTAACTCTTTTCCTATTTTTATTTCAGGCAAGAAAGTGATGGTATTAAATGGTGGGTACAGGGGAAATGAAGGCATCTTGGAATCCATCAATGAAAAGAGGTTCTCAGTGACAATAACCATTGACTCTGTAAGTATCAAGCACTGCAAGCTCTCATTTGTGTAGATCTTTCCATCTGTACATGGAGAGCTTTTACAAAGAACCATGTTATCCTTAATCCTGTCTTACAGGTGGGATTTATGGTGTGCAAAGTGCTGTGGTCACCCCCCACCTATTCCCAACCAGTGGGAAAACAGCCACATATCCCCCATCACAGACTAATTCTCTGCTGTTTGCCTTTAAAAAGACGCCAGGATGCTGGTTTTAGCAAGTTTTGAACTTGAAAGAGACTTGGAAAATATTTTGTATGTTTATTTTGAACATGGCTGTTGTACTATTTTGTGGGAAGGTAAAAAATGTGAAATATGCTCGGAGGAGGTGAATTTTCTCCTGCCTTTTTCAGCCTGAGCATGAGTTGTTGTCTTGTTCAGGGTTAGCAATTATGTTTGGGTTTTTTTGTTTCAGGCTTGTTGGTTTGTTTGGGGTTTTTATATATCACTTTTCTCTGAGCTAAAATCAGGCCATGTGATCATGTCTGTGTGGCTCCTTCTTTGTTCCCCTCTGCAAAACCAATGTTTAAACTCATTGATAAAGCAGAGAGGCTCAAAAGTCAAATTTCTTACACATACCTTGCAAGAGGGAGACCCTGTTAGATCCCATTCAAAGAAGGGCTGCAGAAACTCAGCCCAGATTGGATTCTGGAGAATTTGCTTGGGAAAAGACTGTGCAGATGCCCCAAAGATAGAAGGAGCTTTGATTGGACCTAAGGATCATGTTAATGTTGGTCTCAGAAAGCAAAGGTTATTTTTCTGTAGCTCTGATGCTTGTAGGTGTTGATGTTTCCTCTTCCTTCATGAACTCTGAAATGTAAATTAAAAATGAGTGAAACTACTCCTGGAAACCAATGAAGTCTGTGAGGATTTTCTCACTGATTGTAGGGAGAACAGTTTTTTAGGTTTCTTTATATATAAGTTTGTATTCAAAAGTAAATCTTTTACTACTTATAAATTCACAGCAGTGAATTAATTCAAAACAACTGATTATGTTTGCCCCAAAATTACAAGGACTTTAACTGACACAAAAACTGTCCTGAAAGTGAAAGGATTTCTGGGACAGTGTCAAGGCCCTGTCACATTCTCTGGTCAGGTTGAAAATAATGGAACGGGGAATATTGTGTCATGAACAGATTCCCTTTAACTCTCTTACTATAAATTCCCCATTGAGAATTCAAGAATCAAATAATTTTATAATGTGACCTTATTTCTTCTACTCTGTCATTCTCCAGGGACCTTTAAAAGGACGCCGGGTCGAAGACATCCAGTATGAGGATGTTTCCAAACTCGCCTGAGGTGCTAATCGTGGATCAGAGAAGATTTTGGTTCCCAAAACCATCTTTCTGACATCTTTCAGGCAGACACAAGACTCTACCATGTCAGGGTTTTAATTGTGTGTGTATTTATAATGTATATAGAAATTAACAGAAGCAAACTTGATCTATTTAAAGATAGCGGTGGATTTGTTACATGAAATGTTTGTGGAAATATTATCAGTGGAGATTTTTCGTCTGATTCTATATCGAAGTTATAATATTTGCTTCAATTTCCTGTTGTAAAATATAGGAGAGAGCTGCAAGCTGGAGTATTTTATTTACTGAAGTCAGTGAGCAGGTCCAGAAGAGAGAATTAGCTACAGGTAGGCAGAGTGTGTCAGAGCCAGTGGAGTTTAAACAACACCCTTCTCAATCCACAGTGAAAACGGAGCTCTGGCTGTAGGAACAAGGGAAGGGATTGGGGGAATAGCAGGAAGGTACCAGTGCTGCAGGAGATTATTCCCTGGATGCTCTGAGAATGGTCTGGTTTATTAAGTGCTGTCACCAGTTTATTTTTGAGTAGCACACAGGTGGTAGTAGAATGCAAGTCATTGCTCCAATATGTTTGTCAGGGTTCCTGATAATATTAATATGCAGTTTATCTCCATATGGACTCTGTATGGAGTTACTCCATGGATGTTGCTTGTGGGGTTTCTAGGATGCCACGTAAAGCGTGTGCATGTAGGAGCTGATGGTTGCTCTCCTGGTTTTCCAGAGCCTTTTCCTTTGTTCATGCTTCTGTTGTTGCTCTGCTACATGAGTAACATTACTTGTGCTAAATGATACAACATTACTTGTTTTATTTTTTTAAAAAAGTCACATTTTATACAATGTTTAATTTCTAAGGCACTTCAGGAATAAACATAAACCTTTTCTTAGGCCAGTGTCTTTCTTATCAGCCTTTCAAATGCATGAGGCAGCTCTTGGTTTAAATCCACCAAGGAGCACAGTGAAGTGCTTGGTTGGTGCACCACATTATTTGGGTGAAAAAAAGATGCAGGTTGTCCTGAACAAAATAAAACCCATCACCTGAAGGTCCAGTCTGAAGGTTCTGTGACTCTGGAACCTCTTCCCTTTCCTTGCCTTGGAAGGTCACTGTCTTGTTGGTTTGTGGTTTCCAGGGGACCCTACAGGAAACTGGAAGTCTACAGAGGTTTAAGGAAACAGCTGCTGTCTGAAGTAGCCCAAACCAACCTCACACAGGACATCAGGTGGCTTTTCAGGGTTCCTGGGCATGAAGAATGGAGAGTTATGAGAACTGGAGGCAGAAAATACACTTGTCTGTAAATTTGGGCTCTTTGTACAACCTGGACTGTGTGAACAGCTCTGCCCTTTCTCAAAAGACAGGTACTGAGGGAGAGGAGATGTGTAGGGGAATGATGAACAGAAGAGCTTCTGTATCACTGAAAATAATTACACTTGGCATTCTGGAACCTGACAAATTAGAGTGAATATTGTAGACAAGTCATAAATTGTGTGGAGAAGACCAGAGAATGGTTACTCACTGTTTGTGTTCACATACAGGCTAGGAAATGGTGGAATTACTGATTTTGGGATTTAAAAACACACTCAGGGGTTTTTCCTCTCCTCACCTAGAGCCTTGTTAAACTGGGGCACTGGCTGCTATGGGATGTTGAAGAGGCCAAAGCTGATGGATGAGTTCAAAGAAGTGATAAATGGTTTGTAAGAAGTTGCTGACAGTTCTGAGAGTAACTTTGAAGAGACACTTTAAAACCATATTGGTCCTCTGACTCCTGACACAGCTGCAACAAAGATCCCATGACAGCTTAGAGTGCCTAAGTGAAGGAAACCAAAGTTCAGAAGGGCAAGGAGACTGCTTGAGTCCCTTTCCTGGATTAGGGCTGCTGAAAAGGATATGGCCAATGTTTTTTTCTAAGGTTACCAGAAAGCAGAGTTTTAAATCCAGCTCTTGGTACACAGACAGGCATATTTGTTCCACTGCTGATCTCATTCATTGCTGAATGCTCCTGAAGAGCAAGTGATCCTTTGGGAGCCAGCCTTCCACCAGAAGGAAAACTTTTAGTATTGATGATTATTTTTATAGTCTGAACATTTCCTACTTTCATGGATTTGTATCTGTGCATGAACTCTGTTCTGATCTTGAAATTCTCACAAAAAACAGGCTGGAGGTTGTCTAACTGGTCTAAATAATTTTTCTGCAATATAGCAGCATCAGTTTTTTCAAGGGCATCCTTCACCACTGGTTAACCCATCCTTAAATCCAGGAGCCTCCTCATGATACCCATTCTAGAACCCATGTTCCTTTTCTTTTTAATTTCCTTTACTTCATGCACCTCCTTTTTGCCTAGTCTAGCATGGTATGAAGTTATATTTTCCCAGCAGTCTGAAAACACAAAGGTGTATTAAACCTGCTTAAGTTAAAGTATTAAATAACTATTAAACCTGGTTGAGTGTTACCCACACTCCAGGAGCCACAACACTGTTACAGCTCTGCTAGGAAACGGATTTTACAAAACACTTGAAATTTTTGGTGGAGTTTACAACCCATTAAATCATACAACGCCAAGAGCAAGACACCTCCTACAACCCAGCATGTCACTTTATTACAGATTTCATTTCTTAGCAGAAAAGGGAGTTACAGGGCTTTGAAACACTGAGCAGTTACAAAGCAAACAGTGGTGGAGTCACCTCCAGTCGATGTGGCGTGACAGGCTGACAGCTGCTGTTCAGAGGAGTTGTTTGGGCATGAAGGAGCAGATAAGGCTTTTTTTGTGCTAAACTGGCTTTGTGGTGGAGCATTCAGGGTCTCTTCATGAAGCTGTAGAGATGGGGGACGAGGTAATCTCTGTAGTGGCCATCTATGAACCCTTTCCCACTGTTGTGCACAAACCAGCACGGCACGTCAGTCCCGAGCACACGGTCTGTCCTGTAGTCCTTCTGCACACCCCTGGGAGGGAGAGGACACCCAAAATGAGAGTCACAGCATGGCAAGGAGACAAGAAGACATTGATAATCCTGCTCAGTCATGACACTGTTCAGCCTAAGTGGTGAATTGTGTGTCTTCCCCCAGCAAAAAGTGGAAACAAGCACAGAAGGCAATTAATTTTACAGTTCTATGACCTCGTGGGCCTTGTGGGGGTTCCAGGCACTTACACACAGATAGACTGTCCAAAGTCAGGTGCTGGGCAGCTCTAAGGACAGAACAGTTCATGCTCAAATCTTATGTTCAGTTTTGGGCCCCTCACTCCAAGAAAGACATTTTGATGCTGGAGCATGTCCAGAGAAGGGCAATGGAGCTGGGGAAGGGTCCTGTGAGGAGCAGCTGAGAGAGGTGGGGGGGGGCTCAACCTGGAGAACAGGAGGCTCAGGGGGACTCTCCTGATCTCTACAACTCCCTGACAGGAGGGTGGAGCCAGGTGGGGATCAGGCTCTTCTCCCACGTAATAAGCAATAGGACAAGAGGAAACGGTCTCAAACTGCACCAGGGGAGGTTTAGACCAGCTATTAGGAAAAATTTCTTCACTGAAAGCGTTGTCAATCATTGGAACAGGCTGCAGAAGGAAGTGTTCAAAACAACATGTAGGTGTGGTGCTTAGAGACATGATTTTAGTGGCAGACCTGTGTTGGGTTAACAGTTGGACTTGACGATCTTAGAGGGCTTTTCCAATCTTAATGATTCTGTGAAATACGAAAGAACCAACTTGTTTCAAGTGTTTTAACAGTGGCTAAACCCAGATTATTAGCAGAGAGAAAACAGAGATTTTTCCCCCAAGATCCTTGAGACTCAATAAGCCTGCAGACTGACATCCTTAAAAAGCAGATTTAGAGAGCAATAAAGCACGTGATTCCTACCTGGTGACAGTGAACTTGTTGCCCTTCACTTCCATGATGGCTTGTGGTTTCTCCGGAGGTTGCCCAGGTGTTTGGTGGTGGATGGACACTTCTGGTTCAGAGGCAAACTGACCTGGTCAGAGAGAGGTTTGAAGCTCTTTGTGCATCCTGATCTTTTAAGGTTTTAGGACCTTTTTTCTTTGAGATCTTTGAGGCTCCATGTCAGCTGCTGCTGGGCCTTTTTGGAAAGTCAGATCAGTTCCAGCAGGAAAACCTCTCATGGATCACAGGGCACTGCGTCTCCAGTGCTATGGGATCACCCACACCAGGAAAAGAAAGAGTTGTGCTGCTGAGCCAGCACACTTGTTCTAAGAAAGCAGACTGGAGCTGCAAAGACTATTTAGGAAAACAACCTCTGCTCCTCAGGATTCCCACAGCTTAAAAGGAGCCTTGAGTGGGTCCATGGCTTATAGGGCTGATTTTCCCTATGAACTGAGCCTATGCTTTTGTTTTATGCCACTGCCAGAAAGGGCTGTCATTCAGGGGAGAGCTGAATTACAGGTGTTTGCACAGAAATCTTCTCAGAAGGAAGGTTTGAGGGGTTTGTTTAGGTCTTTTTATTTTCAGCTTGCAGCAGTTTAGCCAGATGGGGAAAGCCCTGTCACAGTGTCACCAAGTCTAGTTAGGTCTGTTCTGAAAACATCCTCTCCACCTGGGACAAAGAATAATCTCCTGGTCCCTAATGTTCTACAGTGTCCTTGGGTGTTTCAGGACATTGCAATTTTCCCCATTCTATTCCTGAATAATTTTCACATCTTCCCCATTGGGATGCAGACACTAACAAACTAATGGCATGAAGGTGTGCCAGGAGAGGTTTAGTTTGGATATTAGGAAAAGGTTCTTCATGCAGAGGGTGGCTGGGCACTGGAATAGGCTTCCCAAGGAAGGGGTATGGCACCAAGCGTGCATTTGGACAATGCTGTCAGGCACATGGTGTGATTCTTGGGTTTGTCCTGTTCAAGAGCTGGACTCGATTATCCTTGTGGGTCCCTTCCAACTCAGGATTTTGAAATCCACTCAAAGACCTAGAAAAACCCCGTCCTAGTGCCCTACTTCTCCCATTACCCAACCCGCAGCTCTTACCTATCAGCCCATGGGCTGAAGAAGAGAACTGGTTTTCAGGGGGAATGTAGATTCCCAGGAAGTCAACATTCACTGGGTGTTTCTTCCACACACGGTGCAGCAGAACCATGAAGGACATCTCCTGCCCCACGGTGATGGTAACGTTGCTTTCCTTCTTCACAGAAACGAGAAGCCTGGCAGAGAGGAACCGAAGGACAGGCTCAGTTTAGCTGCTCAAACAAAGGCTCTCAGACCCCTTGAGATGATCTCAGGTATCCAGAACACCCACACAGAGGTGGCAGATACACCAGAGGATCCATCAGAGCCTTGAGAGTGGTACCCAGAGGTCTGGCAGGACAGTGTCTAATAGGACAGACACTTCATGTCCATGTTTAAGCAACCAAACCTTGCCCTACAAATTTAAGCTCTTGCTACAATGAATGGAGATTTTGGAAGTGATCCCGTCACCTAAACAGTGTTGTAGGGTGTCCAACATGTCCAACACTGTTAATCTGCAGGTGAAGGTCTCCTGGTGTTGTGAGTCATGTCATGGCAGGAACCCCGAAGGTATCTCAAATAGCATTATGTGCTTGTGGGAGCAGGTGAAAACTGCTACTCAACTTACTGTTTCCTAATGATGTGCCCCGTGTCAGACCAGGTCAGTGTGATGGCATGAGATCCATCTTTCAGCGTTATCGTTTCTGTGGTGATCTCCACTTTCAGTCCTTTGTTTTTGAAATAAAAACCGATTTTGCCAAAGTATGTGTTGAGTTTCTTATTCTCCATTTTCTTGGCCCCGACTAGCTGCCCATTGACCACAACTCCTGTGAAGAGAAGAGAAGGAATTGTTGCTTGAATCTTGGAGCACTGCCTAGAGACTTGGAGTTCTGATCTCAAGAGGAAGCACCATGGGATCAACAGAAACAGGAACTCCTCTGACTCCATGTTTTTCTCATTTTACCAGCTAAGAGAATTATTTACTAAACTGCCTCCCGATGCTACTGTTCACACCTTAGCAAAATAATCTGGTGGGAATTGCTGTTAGGTTTTGCTGGGAGTATGAGCTGATTCAGAAGCCCTTCAGTCCCTCACTCACATGAAAAGCATGGAGCAGAAAGGGCAGTGAAGAAATGGTACTAAAATCCAGCCTCGCTTCACCTGCCCCCAAATGCTCATTGCTTTTCATATAGGACAAGAGCAAACAGGTTAAAGTTGTGCCAGGGAAGGTTTAAATCGGATATTAGAAAAAATTTCTTCACTGAAAGGGTGATCAGGTATTGGAAGAGGTTTCCCAGGGAAATATTGGAGTCACCATCCCTGGAAATGTTCAAAAAACTTGTGCGTGTGGCACTTGGGAACACGGTTTAGTGATGAACATGACAGTACTGGGTTAATGGTTAGACTCAATGATCTTTATGGGCTGTTCCAAACTAAATGATTCTATGATCTTGGCTCCTTTCCCAGTGTTTGGCCATCCTCACTCCGATGCTGAATTTCACCTGTTGCAGCTCATTTCTGTAGCCTCTTGTCCTTTAGCATCTTGGAGATGCACCATGCTCCACCTTCTGATCAGGTGGTTGAGAACAGCAACAAGACTCCCCATGGCTCTTCTTTTCCCAAGCTTGATCAAACTCAGCTTTCTCAGCCTCTCCCTCTGTGTCTTCTGCTCCAGTCCTATAGTCACCTTGGTTGCCACCAGTTTGTCAACATCTTTCTTGTGCTGCAAAGCTCAAACTCCAGATATGGAAGAAAATAACCTCAGCCTCTGACCACACTCCTGTCAGCACAGCCCTCCCTACAGACAATTCCCCTACTCCCTCTGAACATCTTTCAGACCCAAGACAAGAGATCTGTGCGGTAAAATAAAATATGTTTTACTCCCTTACCGGTACCAGGATCAGAAACCAAGTTTAGGATCTTCCCAGGCTCTGAGTTGATATTGAAACAGATGTTCCTTTGGCTCTTGGGCAGGTGGATGATAAAATGTGGGTCGTTGTCAACTGAAACACAGAAAGCAAACAAGTGTGAGAAGCAGGTCAGCACCTGGC